CCATATCATGGCCTGCTCTTGTTCACGTCTGTTAACTTCTGTTCCTTCCACAAAGTGAGGTGGTATATGAAGTCACGTGTTTGTATTGTAGCCTCCGGTGATAATCTACGATTCTACAGGGCTTCAGCCTGGCGACCCGCCACTTTCTCTTTTTTTTTTTTTTTTTTTTTTTTCCTTTTTTTTTGAAGCAAGGCCCGTTGTGCAAGGCCTGTATCCTGGTGGTGGTAAGAGAACCACCGGGATTGAGGCTTTGCCTGGGTCGCTCCATCTATTGGTGGGGAGCATCACCTGCTGGAAACCGGGTCCAGCGTCCCTGAGATACATTCTTTCAGAACAGTACATCGTTGAAAGTGACGCCATTTTGCTGGAAACCGGGTCCAGCGTCCCATATGCACTTCTACTCTTCCCACGCAAAAGCTGCAGCAGGGTCAGGAATGGAGAGGAGCACTGGGGGGCACCAGTGGGGTCCACCTCCATCTCCTGACCCCTGCCGTCCACCGGCTATCCTCACGGCGCCTATTGTGTTAAGCTAAGGTGAATTTAAACTGAATTTAAACTGAATTAAACTGGAGCAATTTGCAGTAATTTGCAGTAAACAAGATTATCAGAGTTCTCACAGTATTTTGTCACAATTTAGCTAATCAGCCGTTCTGGCTACAGCAAACATCCCCATCACTTCRCCGGGAGGCGCCGTGGAAGGTGCCGCCCTTGTGCTGGAAACYGGGTCCAGCGTCCCATATCAAAAACCGTCAAAACCATCACTACCTTGCCTATCCTRCYGCTGGGCCGAGGATCTGAGGGAGGCRGAGTCTGCGAGTGATTGTGGGCCCAGCAGCTGGCTCAACCAACAGAAGGGATATTSTGAGTGTTGTGTATCTACTAGCGTCTCGGCTCATGTCGCTAGTAGTGCTTCTGCCAGGGACAGCGGGTGGGGGGGAAAGGGGTCTGCAAAGTCCTGGGCTGGCCGTAGCGGGACCCCCGGGTCCACATTAATCCAGTCATGGAAGATCAACTGATAGTCCCTTGCTATTTCTTCCCGGGATTCTGCACCCCGGTTGGCTCCGGACCATTTTATCTCAGCCACCCATCCCTTCCCCTCTCCCCCAAGCCAGTCCTTGCTGAATCTGGAGATAATCTTGATCATGTCCCCCAAGGTATACGACTGATCCAGCTTCTCTTTAGCTGCGCTCCATTGGGTTGCAATTTCATATTGAACCAGTGTTCGTATTTGCTCCATAGCTTCTCCGTCTTCTACCTGCGCCCCCTCTATCTCTAGGATGCATCGCTTCCACCATATAGTCCATAGTACGCTCCGCCTACCCAGTTTGAACATGTTTTCCACAAATGTGTTTCCCCGGACTAGAGGGTGATATCCCAAGAGAATGGCCCTCCAGTCCCAAGGCCATGTCACACCGGGAGCGATATGTCGCCAAACCCTGTCCCAGCTCCTCCATAGTAGCACTGACGCAGGGCATTGGAGAAAAATATGTTCGATAGTCTTCGCCCGCCTTGTCCCAGGGAAGCTCTGCAGGCATTTGTGGCACCATGGTAGTGCTTTCCCTTGCTGCTCTAGACGCGTATGGTCGATCAACCAGTCGTTGGTTGGTAGACACCTATGTTCAATTTGCCATTGGAGGGCTGAGATTTTGGCGGGTCTGCACCTATAGTGAGCGAACCATCGAATGGGTTTAAGCAGGCTACGGTGTATGTTAAGATGGCGATACCATCTATCCTCCACGCGGTCCCTCAGTCTACATTTGGGTCTGAACATTCGGTAGACGRATTTGGTTTTTAGATTGAGTAGAGCCAGTATGTTGTCCTCCCCTTTCCTGACCGGGTTACGTAAGTTCCATCGCCACTCTTCCGGATCTAAGGGGAGGTCCTCGATGGGGGTCATTGGGCAATACACCCTCTGGTGGCATCCCTCCTCCATAACCCGGATGCGATACACATTCTTTTGTTCTTTCCATATGAAGGGTTGATGGTTCCCTTCTAGTCTGCCGCCCTTTTGGATGGAGAAGACTTCTATTAGCACATGTCCGGGCCCAATAAGGTGCACATGCCCGACTGCTTTCTCCTGGTCGGGTAACCCCACCCAGTCTCCTTCCTTCAAGCATGGGCCTTTTCTGAGGGTGGCATACCATTGGAGGGGGAAGCTCTCAATAAGGTCGTTGAGAGCCTTCTCGGTGAGATGGCAGTACCTCAGCCACGTACTTATCCTTTCTATGCTCTTCCAGTTACCGGTCTCCTTGTCCCAAAGGTCCCCAACCCTCCGGACGCCATGCTTTACCCAGCCTTTCCACGGGGCATCCGAGTTATTCCGTACCCGCCCTCCCGCATTTGTTATTAGTCGGTTGCTGAAGAGGGGTTGCCTGAAGATCTCTTCCCATCTCTCAGGTGTTGGTCGGAGTGGGGGGGGGAGTTTCCTCCAGGTGCGTATCAGGTGCACCCATTGATTGTCGGAAGGGTCCCCGTTCCTGTACTTCCTCGGCAACCTCCAGTATCTATCTTCCAACCACACCCTAGGGTCGATCTCGGGTGGGGTTTCCGGGGCTAGGTCAGAGATTTGCGCTAGAGCCAAGGGGACCCAAGGGGATGATGTGGAGAAAATAATGCGTTGAAACCAGCGAATCCTGAGGGYTTGGAATTGTGTGGCCGGGTCCACAATTCCCAGTCCTCCTCCACTCTTGGGCTGGATCACTGATTCCCATGCTACACGGCTTATGACGTGGGACTTGTTGCTATCACCTCTCTAGAGGAAGCCCGCCAACTGTTGTTTCAGTG